ATTGCAAACTCATGGTGTTACTTGAGGGTGGAATGAATAACAATTCATTTCTACCACCAATAGATGGAATTTGGACACAGTTCTCTAGAGACAAAGACCTCCCAGACAAGATCTCTGAAAATGCCCCAGCAGAAGAAGCTTGGTTCTGATATATTGTTGAGTTACCAGGATCGGAAGATGATCCAAGGTAAGAGACAGGCTTTTGTTCCCGCAGATAAGCGGTAGATAAATTTTCTCTTCCATAGCTAAAACTTGGGTAATAAGTGGCCATAATTTGCTTCCTTATGTTTACCAGTAGAGGAATGATAAAGCATTACCAATTTACCAGTCTGCACAAATCAAATGATTGCTAAAAATTGGGTACCTCCCAATAAAACAGTGATCAGCTAATATGTAGATCCTGATCAAACAAAAAAGCGAGATAACATATATCAGAGATCTTTCAAAGTCCCAAATTCAAAGGCAGATATTTGCATCATTGTTCTTTGCTCATCTAATCTGTGCCAAAGAACTTAGGATTCAAAGAAGCAGAAACACCACAATAGCCAATGACACGTTGGTCCATGGCATGAAAGTGCAGCAACAAGGTCAATAGCTTATGTTTTAAAGCGCTTTAGAGTTTAAACTGAATCAACAATGAGAAATCCCCAATAAAGAAAAACCCAAATCTCTAACAACTATTTGTATTTCATGCTGACACTTCTCCCTCCAAACAGAAGATAAAAAAGCTAAGAAAAATAGATTAATACTAAAAAAGGTAAAAGAATAATTACTGAAGGACCGCATTAAACCATAACCAAGATTAACCATAAATATTATTTCAACAAATCAAAAAGGTACCCCAAACATGTAAATTCAGCAAAACAAAAAAATCCTTCATCTTCTATTTTAAGCTTCTGCATTATCTTCTTACGAAGATCATCCCTTAGTTAAATTCATATTTAGATTCTACAACTATCTTCCATCAATTCAATTAGAGAAACAGAAAAATCCTATCCAAGCTTAAATTCAGATATTCTTCTGAGGAAAAAAGAATCCGGTAATCATAGATATCAAAAGGTAAGCCATGATCATTTAAGGGCAGGAAATCCAGAGGTTTCAAAGCAAAAAAAAAAAAAAAAAAGTACAACTTTTTCTTTTTGCAATTTCACTTTGTATGCCATTTCTTCATATCATCAACACTATCAGTCTATCACCATCATCATGAAGTACCCACTGGCACTGGAAACAGAAATATCACATTCAAACTTAAAGAAAAAGAAAAAAAAAGCATAATAAATAAAAAACCAAATTACCCAACACCCAGAAGAAGCTCAAACATCCATGTATCTACAGAAACCCCTAAAGCAGAAGCCTTGAAGTTGTCTTCTTTTTCAGCATCATCATGTACTCAAGGCACTAAAAATCAAGCCCAAGAGATAAAAACAACTTTTCTAAACATACGACGGTCTCCAATCAATCAATTATTACAGTTCTCACAAAACAAAGCAAAGGGTGAAGAGGATGGTGAAAAACATCATAAAAACAGATAAGGTAAAAGTGAAATGCCTGAGAGCCCCCCAAAGAGAAGCTGCGCCTCTTGCGGGAAACAGGAAGAAAGAAGCTTCAAAACAGCAAGACAAAAACCAATACCGAGAGATATAATCCCAAACGTAACCAACCTCCTTATCATTGGAACATCGACACCAACCCAAGAAATATTATTAAATAATTCCACTCAATACAAAAAAAAAAAAAAATTATTGATGACAACAACTGTAATTTTTTATTCTAACAAATGATGATGATGATGATAAGGAAGAAGAATGTTAAGAACAAACGGTTCCCTTTCGCAGTCCTTCCAGACAAAAAAAGAAAGACAAAAACAAAAGGCAAAGCTGTGTTGTTTAGTTGTAGTTTTTTTTTAAATGTTATTTTTGGAAAATTTAGAATGTTGTTTGATTCATTCGTTGCTTAAGAGAGTTCAAAAGCTAACCACCAGTTGGCAGACCTGTTAACGGCCCCTAAGCCCCTTTTTAACGTATAAAAATGGTGTCTTTCCGTTTTTCTCTCTCTTTCTTGCTTTCCAAAGTACCGGAAGCATTATGGTTTGGGTTTTTTTTATTACTAATATTAAAGTGAAAAAAAAAAGTCAGATTGAAAATGTGATAGATAGACCAAAAATGTTGGGGAGGGAGAAGGGTTAGCTGTACTCGCAGTTGGTGTGAGTGAGAAACTCACGAGTCACACTCTGTTTCCTCGCGTGCGCTTTTATACATTGGTATAAATTTAATAATTTAATAATTTATATCATATAAAATATTAATAATTATATATTTATATTATATTTTATACAAAATTATATATTACAATTTATGTTAATACATAAATATAAAACATATTTTTTAATTTTGTTACATTTATTTATGATTTTATTAAAATTTTAAATTATATTATTTTTTATACTTATGTTAGTGGCTAAGCAACTTCCATTTTTTTGTTTAATTCTTTTGATAGTTGATTGAGTGTTTATGTGTCATTTAGGAGCATGAATGATGGGAATCTATCTAATGCTCGATCCACCTTTTAAAAGGTGAAAATTATATATATATATATATATATATTTTTTTTTACCATGACCTATTTGGTCAAGGAGAAAAAAAAATACCATTAATTCCTTTTTTTTTTTAATAAAATGTTTGAAGTTAAGATAAATATTATAGAAAAAGTATGTTCATTCAATTGTGTGATTTAGTAAACAAAATACAATGCTTAATTTACATTAAATGCATTAAAGAATTACAAAATACTTTATTATATGATTAATATATGTGCCACACTAGTTTTATAAAAGTAAAGACAACCTAAACTCTTCCCTTTTTTATGCTTTATGACTAACAAATAAATTTTGCTTAAAAACTAAGGAAAACGTTCTTCTCATTGGCAATCGATAATTAAATTTAAAAAAAAAATACTATTTGAGTATTAACTCAAAATTATATGCATGTTGATCAAATTATAAAAAATTAGGAATGTGAAAAAATTTAAATACCGATAAGGCCCTAACCTTTTGGAGATGACTATGTTAGGAAGAAGTCCTTTCATGTTACGCACCAAGGAGAGTCTAATGATTGCCTTTAGAGCAGCGTCGGAGGAGATATCAGAGTCTTCTCTTTTAGTGCATGTGGTGGATATCAGGCATAACATTTTCAAGCTTTGGGTCATCTCTATTTTCTTTTGTTTTCTCTTTAATTTATCAACTTACATTGCTCTACGAACTTCAGCCATCCCCTAGCAGAGCAGCATATAGATGCTGTGGAAAAAGTTCTTCCAGAACTTGATGTGTCTGCAATTTCGAAGTTGATGGTCTGGAACAAGGTAATGGAGATATTCTCTATCTCTGAGTTGTTGAGAACTTGACCTATTTCCCTCAGTGTACTTGTGATCTGTATAATTTTACTTGACTTTTCCTCTACCTGCATGGAGCCGTCTGTTGTATTTTGTTGCTTAACCCTATGTGATGCCTGAAGTCTGTCTTATCTCAGTATGCTCATATTTTTGCTTCAGATTCTCCGAACCAAACACCACCTCAGAATTTTTGTTTTAAAATTGATATGTTACTTGTATGGATAGTTATGTACTTTTGGAAACTGACTGATAAAATATACATAGTGATTCAACAAGGTCATTACTTTGTTTATAATATTTTGTATCCTGCTTTATGAACCATGAATTGGAAACAGTTTGCTTACCTGACACATGCTTAAAACCTAATTATTGTAGACGTTGAGCTTATTAGTTATGTTGATGATTTATATCATGTTTTGCTTTTGCATTGTTCAAAAGTTCTATATCTGCAACATGAACTTAAGGTTGACAATCCCTAAATGCTGATGCTTATGGCAGGTTGACAGGGTTAGTAATCCACAAAAAATAAAGTTAGAAGCAGAAAGAAGAGAGGATGTTGCTTGTATATCTGCTCTGACTGGTGATGGCTTACTGGAATTCCACAACGCGGTGCAGGAAAAATTGAAGGTACCAAATTTATGTCAATATTTCAATGTCCTTGAAACATGAAGACAGTAATTAATTCCTGAATCTGGAATAGGATTCTATGGTTCCAGTGGAAGCCTTTGTCCCGTTCGACAAAGGGGAGCTTCTCAGTACCATGCATGAGGTTGGAATGGTGGAGAAAACTGTAAATATAAGCCAAAGCCTAAATGTCAAACTAATTTTCATTCATTATAAACAGAACTAATAATGCTGTTGTTTTCTAATATATTTTTCTCTTATTTTCCAGGAATATATTGAGATTGGGACATTGATCAAGGCATTTGTCGCTCTTCGTTTTGCCAGGCTGCCTACCCCGAATGAAGAAGCTATGTAAATCATAACTTCAACTTTCTCCAATGTGTCATGACCTTTTCAATACTGTGTCATCATATATTTGTCCTCTGCCGTTTTTGCCAGGCATTCTGATGGATAAATTTCATCTTAAAATCTATTTGTGTATTATGCAGCAGAAAATGAATACTGTAGATATTAATGTTATAGTGGCATTTTTCATTCTTTTTACCTCCAAATTTGTAGTTTAGACCTGTGAAATGAACTTATGAAACGTCATTCTTGTTTCCAAATCAAAAAGGGAAAAAAAATCTGATCCTTAAAATGGTTCCAATTCAAAATCCAATGTTATGGTAATTCTCAATTTCTAATGGTTGATATGTACATAATATTTTTGTTCCTCAAATTTAAAATCTAGTTTATTTTATGATTTGATTTTAAATTCTTTTTGCTTAAAAAAAAGGGAGTTTTGTTGGGGAAAAAAATAGAGTTTATAAATTTGTAATTTGTGAATTTTATTATTTTAATCTTATAGTTTAGAATTAGATAATGATTAATTAAGGTTTTGCTTTAATTAAAAAATGGTTTTCCTTTTTCTTTTGGGTGAAATATTTTATTATTAAAAAAAAAAAAAAAACGAAGGCGGCTTTTAAAATACGTATAGCGCTGGTAGATTACGAATAGACCCAACTCGCAATCTCCTATAACCCCTCGCTCAAGAAACCTCGGAAAAGCCCAAAACAAAGCCATTCTCGCAGATTACATTAGTCCCAATTCCCACAACCCTTCACTCAAGAAAACTCGGAAAAAGCCCAAAACAAAGTATACTTCCAACGATTTGGATCTGTGATCAGAGATTGTGACAATGAGTGACGGAGAAGACGCCGTTCGACGCCGTAATGCGGTTGCGGAGTATCGGAAGAAACTGCTCCAACACAAAGACTACGAATCCAGGGTTCGAACAGGTTTCCTCCCATCTGATCTTATAATCCCCATCATCTAACCCTGAACATGGGGCACTTTTCTCTTTTCCCCGATCTGCGTTTTATTTTAAATTTCAATTATTGTTTCGCTGTTGCCGAGTTAGAATTTAGGGTTTTGCTTTGCCGTTTTGGTTCGTCTGTCGGTTCTATCGGCTGCTATGCTGCTTTGAAATTTATCTTTTTTTTTCCCTGTTTTTTATAGAGATGGCTTGAGTAGGTAAAAATTGGGGACAAAAGCTTTAAGCTTTGATTGTTGCAATTGATAATTACTTTGTTTTCAATTGAAAGTATGCTTTGCAATGTCTTCGACTTGGGATGATAATTGGCTTTTGTTTTTACTTTTGTTGATGATGAAATTAAATTTTTGGGCTTCTGTGAAAATAAAAGAAGAATAAGAAACAGAAGAAAAGAATGCTTGTAGCTCTGGCTATTGTATTGTGAAGTAGTTGTTTGAAGACCAGGACTTTATCTTTCTGATTAATATAGTGCATATTTAAGATGGTTTCTCACATGTAGTTATGCTCATGAATTTTCAGGTAGGGAGAATCTGAGAGCTGCTAAGAAAGAGTTCAACAAAACAGAAGATGATTTGAAGTCTCTTCAGAGTGTTGGGCAGATCATTGGAGAAGTTCTCAGGCCTCTTGATAATGAACGCTGTAACTATACTCTTTCTCCCCCACCTTTTTTTTAATGTTGATGTTTGTACATTAGTCCAAGTGGCTAGGCATCTTCCATACTTGCATTACAAACTTATACACTTCATTTATGTGTTCTTTTTAAGTACAATTGCATTGTTTGCATCTGAGTAGTTGCATTCGAATATTAGGCTATTTGTTGATTCATTTTTGTGAGAATTGATAATAATTATAAATTGGATGTTTGTATGATGTTTCAGTGATTGTTAAAGCAAGCAGTGGCCCTCGGTATGTGGTTGGTTGCCGCAGCAAAGTTGATAAGGAGAAACTGACTTCAGGAACTAGAGTGGTTCTTGACATGACAACACTTACAATCATGCGGGCTCTGCCACGCGAAGTAAGTAATTATCATCCAAATTAGTTCAGCTGTATTTATGATATTAAAGCAAGTTTTCTTTACAAACGTCTGACACATTGGTACATCTTTGGATGACAGGTTGATCCAGTTGTTTACAACATGTTGCATGAAGATCCTGGTAATGTTAGCTACTCGGCTGTTGGTGGTTTATCTGATCAAATTCGAGAGCTGAGGGAATCTATTGAGCTCCCTCTTATGAACCCTGAGCTTTTCCTTAGAGTTGGGATTAAACCTCCCAAGGTGATTATTGCTTCCTGTCTTTCCTTACTTTCAAGTCTGGAGTTTCATAGGGTGTGCTTGTGTGTATATTGATGGGTGATGCATGCTGTGGTGGACTGATGTTTGATTGAGAATCATCTGAAATATCTTGTCTTCATTGCAGGGTGTCCTACTTTATGGACCTCCTGGTACTGGCAAGACATTGTTAGCCAGAGCAATAGCAAGTAATATTGATGCTAACTTCTTAAAGGTCAGTTTTTTGTACCATATATCTTACCTTTGTGGTTTTCTCTGGCATGTTATCCTGTCTGTGAATGAATGCATTTCGCCTTCTCATCTGAATTCAGGTTGTTTCAAGTGCGATAATTGACAAATACATTGGAGAAAGTGCAAGGCTGATACGAGAAATGTTTGGATATGCACGTGATCACCAAGTGAGAGCCTGGAGTTTTGAATGTTTCTTCTGTTCTTCTTTATATCCCTTAATATCATTCTTATGTTTGTTTCTTTTTATTCAGCCTTGCATCATCTTTATGGATGAGATTGATGCCATTGGTGGGCGCCGTTTCAGTGAGGGAACAAGCGCTGACCGTGAAATACAGAGAACACTGATGGAGTTACTTAATCAGCTTGATGGATTTGATCAGCTAGGGAAGGTAAATTATTTTGTTCATGAACATAGTTCAAGATTGTGATTTAAAGCAAATATTCTTGCACTTTCAATTGCATCCTAACATGCCATAGTTAAGTTGTTTATACTTTTTCATTGTTTTCCTCACAAAGCGGATGATGAGTGTGATATTCTGGAAACTTGTTTACCAATAGTAAACTTCTAAGTGCCTTCAATCACTGCTTTATCCGGTTAGGTGCTCATTCCACTTGACTTCTACAGAATCATAACATCTCCTTGGTGTCCTTGGAAAAGAGGCCTACCTCTTAAAATATGAAGTGAATGGCTGGTGGCTTTAATCATATGTATTTTAATTTATTGTGTTTCCATGGTCTGGAACTCAAATTTCTCTCAATGGATCCTTCATTGCTGCCTAGTGCACCGGTTTGCTTTTAAGTTCTCCTAATTGTGGGAAAATCATTATCAACTTAAATTGTTTTGTGTAGGTTAAAATGATTATGGCTACAAACCGACCTGATGTTCTTGACCCTGCACTTCTTCGTCCTGGGCGGCTAGACAGAAAGATAGAGATTCCATTGCCAAATGAGCAATCAAGAATGGAAATCCTCAAGATTCATGCTGCTGGCATAGCCAAGCATGGTGAAATTGACTATGAGGCTGTTGTTAAACTTGCCGAGGTAAGTCAAAGGTGTTTTGTTTCTGTTTCAAGCTTGTAATCCTTATTGCTAATATAGTTTGTGTCACCATTGCTTTAGGGCTTTAATGGTGCTGATCTACGAAATGTTTGCACGGAGGCTGGAATGTCAGCAATTCGTGCAGAACGTGATTATGTCATCCACGAAGATTTCATGAAGGTAGAACCTTGAAACTTGAATGACTGTCCTTTTTATTTGGCATAACTGTTGGGAAAAACAAAGTTGGACAATGGTGATGATGCGCTCACTTGTATCTCTATTTGATGAAATTGCAGGCAGTAAGAAAATTGAACGAAGCCAAGAAACTGGAATCAAGTGCGCACTACAGTACTGATTTTGGGAAAGAATAGAACTTCTGTTCTTTCTTGAAGTCATTGAATACTGGGCAGTCCATTATACTTTCGATGTCGCCGATTTGCTCAACTTAAATGTTCATTTTATGTTTAAGAATTTCCGAATTCTGTATTTTAAATATTTACAGCTTTCACAACAAAAAGGGTTGCATACAATGTTGGCATATCCAAAGCTGAGTACCCTGGAGACAATTGTATCATCGAGCCTTTGCATGTTATAGGAAATTGAATCATTTCACTCTGTTCGGGCTGTCATATATCTGTTTCATTTCAAAATTTTTAAACCACCACGAGTGGGTTTTTGATTCGATTATTGTTGTTGTCAATTGTCGCTCATGAACTTGTCTTTCAACTTCGATAGCTGGGGATATTTTCTTTCGAACAATATGATCGGTACTCGTCGTTGGGGCACCAAGGACGTCTGAATTGATTAATCTTACTTCCGAAAGAGCTGGATTCAGCGGACTTGTCCACCAACTTATAGTGCTCGTTCAATCTACCTGTGCTTGGGGCCATTTTTTTCTGGTCCTGCATCTTACTTGCAATTTTATCTGCTGCACTTTTTGGGCTCTCGTCCAATAGCCTAAGGCCGAACTAGTAATGGTCATGTTCAAGGTGTTGAGCCCATTAATTAATGCTAGCCCAAATAACTAGCCATTTTCTACTACTTTCCTGCAAATTTTCTGCCTGCTTTCGTTGCCATAGTCGTAACTGGGTAGTCTCATGTCTGCGGTCTCTCCCATTCCTACCTAACTCGCTTTAATTTGTATTTGAACAATTGAATCTTTACTATTAAGCAAAAGCCACACTGCCACGACATTGAGATATGTCAATTGTCAGGACGTTTTTTCTCAGCCAGTCCCCTTCAATTTAACCATCGTTTAAAAAAATTAGATACAATACCAAAGTTTTTAATTTACGCGAATGCTGTTAGCTGTTACCAAACAGAAAAGATAGACCAAGATTCTCGGAATCGGATGTTTATTCATGGCATGTTTGTCGGACAATTCTTTGCTCGGGAGCTCCTGAATGAGGGCTGGTAAGATTGCCTAACTATCTATTGTTTATAATATTAAACTGAGAAGAATGCATCATCATTTCTATATTTTTTATTGCAGGATTGTCTCTGGGACTTGCACAAGCACGGAGAAGAAAAACGAACTTGAGCGAAAAGGGTTTGATTGATATTATTCTTTTTATGCAAATCAGCCAGAGTAAGTTTTAGTTTTTATTTATTTTTATCCCCAATTTGGTCGTGTATTGCATATTGAAAAGTTTATATGACCAAATAATGTTCTTGGAAATTAAATTGCCCATAGACTAAAATGTTTACTTTTATCATATATATTTTTTTGTAATGATTTTTGTCTTGCTTCCTGTCTTGTGTACTGTAGGATGAGTACCATGAATACAGTGACATGCTATACACATCTTCTTGTCTCAATTCCTCCCGTTGTGGGTATTGGTGATCCGGTATGCTGAGAATGTTTCCCTGTTTTTCAGGTTACGGTACCTACTGCATTCGATCGGTCTTCTGAGGAAATGCCCATTTTATAAGGTTTTTAATTTGGCATTTTTTCCTTGTTGATTTTATAGTTGCTTCAACATGGAGAACTCCTAAGAAGTAAGCTGATGGAGGGCAATCTTCAGTGGCTCTGTTATTTTCCTCAACTAGTATGCCTTTCATCATATCTGCTGTTTGAATGAATATAGCATGCATAAACGCTTGAATATTAGCAAGATATAAGTGACTCTTTTGTACGATATCTGTAATATTTCATCCTTGAAGAAGATCTACGTTTGTCCTTGTCTGCTTAATGTTCAGCCTTGAAATAAAATCTAGACTTCGTTTTCATACAATATTCTGCTACTTTACTTGTCAATAGATGGGCACTCTGGTGTCTGTTGGAGAGCTTTCTCGTGTATTTTAGAAGTTCTTCTTGCCTCTCAAGGAGAAGTGACAGTGAAGTAAAACCTTGCATCATTTATTCCTTAAAAGGAATAATACAATTTGATACCTTATGTCTAACAAGCCCTTTTGTTTACCAAAACTTACATCTGACAGGTGTATATGAAGATTGTAGTGTTGCATGTGTGGATGAGTAAGATCATTCCTTTGTGGACTAGTGTTTTGTAAATTACTCCCCATCAGGAGTCGCTAATTTCCTGGATTTTATCGTGGCAGTAACCCCACAAGCCCTACAAATGAGTTGGCTGAATTGAGGTTAGTTGCTGAGCAAGGATGGTTGAATCTAGACCATGATATTGGGATCAAGGCACAAGTATTCCGACTTGGAGGTATCTATGGCCCTGGTAGAAGGTTGTGATTGATAATTTTCATAACCAGTTGTTCGATGGTTAGAATCTGTAGTTAGTAAAGAATTCACACGTTAGGTTCTGGTTTCTTGATATGAAGACAGTGATATTAGGTAAATGTTCCACCTTGTTATGGCCAATTAGAGATGGGGGATTGAGTAAGGAGAGAGAGAGAACTAGTAGTATTATCCTAAATCTAAATTTTTGGCCTTCGTCGTTCATTTATAATTAGCTATAGAAATTAGCTCCATCTTCATATGTTAATGCTATCTGCAAATTTATTGTAATACTGGGTTAATGTCATTATAAATCGTCAATGCATTTTCTTTGAACTGTTCATGTCATAAACGTTCATTTTAGCTTATTGTTACGTTCTTGAAGTTCGTCCCAAACATTTTGGAGGCTTCAAGTGAGTAATTTGTCTGCTGCTTTCATTTGCAGTGCTGTTAACACAATAATCAAGCAGGAATCTTGATCAGAATCTCAGAAACTGAGGGTGTCCAAACAATTCACATCCAGAGTTCATGTTGCCGACATTTGTCAAGCACTTACGGCCAATAGTCACATGCGACTCTCCAGGTATGCGTTAATTATAAGCTGCACTTAGGTTTTCTAGTGCAGTTAATCAGGAATTCAGAATATCAGACTGTATCTACTTGAAGAAGTGGACAAATAAAAAGCTTTGGCATCCAAATATCAGTTCCTAATTTAAAGGCCCCCATCAGGCAGAATCAAATTCACGAGTCTTTGAAACTTTTAGTTAGCTCCCATATATCTTGTTGATGCCATCTATCTATCCTATCTGGCAAACTGCTACTAGCATGCTAAAGAAGAAAAAAAGACTTCGATTATCTCCTTTTCTTTGAATTTCCTTTTTCAGAAGAATTTACAATATTGTAGCCGATGATCAAGCATCCAGGACAGAGGTATTTGCTTATGCATTGGATTTGGTTGAGAAAAAGTGGCCTTCCCTGATCAAGGAAATCACCTCTCCTGAGAGAGCTGAATCATTTGTTCAGAATGCAACTTTAAGAGGTGAGAAACAAGTTTCTAATGCTCGAATGAAGAAGGAACTTGCAGTGGCTTCTTTATCTGAGTTACAAATCTGGATTACAGAGCATAGTTGACCTGATGGAGAACCCATTTTAGCAATTCAAACCATGCATACCTCTGTCCACCCAAAGTCTTTCTTATTTGTGTTGTTGAAGGAATGACTTTTAAGCAATCGAATATATGTCCAGAGTTATATGACTATACTAACTATGCGAATGTGAAATTGAGCTTTAACACGTAATGAGTCATCCATTCTCCATAAACTCCAGCCCAAGCACTACAAGAGCACAGAGCTATTGTGTTAACAATAAAAATTATGTGAATACAGCGAAGAAGAATTGAAAAGGCAAAGCACAGTGAAATTTTGAGTTGTCATTTTCCCAATCAATTCAATGCTTCATTGAGTTGATCTTGTCAATGGCTGAAGGCGTAAGTTTTTTTCAGATCAGTGTCATCCAGAATGGCATGTAGATGTTGAAAGCAGCAACATTCAGTTACATCTTAGCATGAAACCTACAAAGAACAAGCTTACTTACTATCTAGAATCAAGCAAATAACTGCATTCCTTAGGACTTTGAACTCTCAAAATCCCACCATTTAAATTCTGATCCAATTCAAAGTTTGTCACACTCATGCCCTACCCGGCAAAACACCAATGGAGTCGAGTTATAAGGTGGGTCAATATAGGAAATTTTCCATGGCTATCCTGTAGATACTATTACTTCAAGAAAAGGGGGGAGAATCTCTAACTTGAGAAGCTGAGATTTGATTGCATTGGAACTTGGAAGAATGACTCACAGAGCATACTGTAAGCAGTGAGTTTCTCTACTTAAACCCTTTTAAGTAAGGGAAACAAAAGCATATTTACTGACTGATAAACTTTTATGATGAAATGAACAGGCTCCTTACCTCATGCCAGCACAGGAAGGAACTCAATCTTTTCGATATCTTACCCAAAACCCCTTCTTCCTGGCAGAATCATTCTCCGATAGTGATCTGCCCCACTTAGACCCAATAGAGAAGTGGCGTTTCAAGAAAGGCTTTGCCATGGAGCTTCTCCAGCTTGAACTGGGTTCCAATTTTGGAGCTTTACCTTCTCGTTTGGCATTTTGTTGGTGGTCAAAATCATCACAACCACCATCTACGAAACCATCTATAATTCTATTCTTTAACAACTTAAGATATTTTGCCTTCAACTCTGCCTCAGCTTTCAAAGCTTTTCTGGACATCTTTGAGACCTGCTTTTCTCCAACCATGCATAATGGGCAGGCTGGGTCATATTTGTCAGCTTCTGGCGTCATGGTCTCCAAGCATTCAGCATGATAAACATGTCCACAGACAAGTACGGCAACAACTGAAATTTCATTGCTGCTCCATGAAGATCTCTCAGCCAAAAGCTTTGAGCAAGCCCCACAAGTTCGCATATCTATGGATGGAGAATATGAGAACCTGCTGCTAGAGCCACTTATATTGCCATAACCAGAACCTACGTGTTCAGTGTCAAAAGACCACCTTTCTCTTTGAGAAGAGGCCACAAGCTCAGAAAAAGTGCGCATGGACCAACCATCAGAAGAGCCTCCATGAGATCCAGCTGTTAAGTCATTGCTACACGTGGAAAGCACAAAAGATGACCTTCCTTCAGACATTGAATAATTATTTGGTGATTTCATTCCCAGGATTCGACTATCAGACACCTGCCTCAATAGCCGGTGCCCAGGGGAATGCCGAGTCCGTCTGGATGGGGTTGAGTTGGGAGGAAGTGAATGAGCATGGCTAGACAAAGTATCTATAATTGGTGGTGATAAAGATGAAGGTATACAAAATGAAAGCTTAGGTGCAGATGAATCCACAATATCTGGCGATTCTGCCAAATTCTTCACCTGAAAGATAATCAGAAGGGCATGTTAGCCATCAAAAGGAGTGGATAGGCTAGAGCATCACCAAAAGATAAAAGGAAAATAAACACAAGCATAAAATGCTTATTCAACTAAATCAAACTTACCTCAATGGAATAATTGCTTGCCCTTGATATATCTGCATCAACAACATAAAAGTTTTATGATAAAACAATATCAAACACAATACAAACAAGTAACAAAAGGGAGGGAAAAGACTACAAGCCATATTGGTCAAAACTGCATTGGGAGAATAAAGAGTAGAAGTAGAAAATAATGGAATGCATGTAACTTGTAAATATGAAAATATGTCTGTTTTATGTTCATTCTTATGATAAAAGCAGTTTCTGTTTGTAAGTACTCAAGACCATGTACCTAGCACATTAAAGGTAAGCATTATCAAAGGCCTAGTTCTTAGCCAGCAGTAGTTGTGATTAGAGGACCCTTACAGCCTTTCACATGCAAGTTCCAAGGACAAACTTACATAAATTACATAATCCCAATGCACCAAAAAAAAAATTTACAAAATCTCCAAATAATGAACATTGAACAAAAATTCTAGCAAAAATTTCCTGAAACCCTCATGTGCAGTCAAGATGGTGATAGGAAAAGGTATGCCAATATGCTATTTCATTTAGCAAGAGAATTTACCTGAAGGGCGGGTCATCATAGTCCCACCCATTTCTTCATGGACTGGTGATTTTTGCGAAGTGGGTGTTCCATGGTTCTCAATCTCAAGCGGACTTCCTTGATCAGAAAGATTACCTCTATCAGAGCCTAATGTCCCTTTTATCTCCATGCTAACATTTCTGCTAGCTCCATTAGACACCTGATAAGGTGTCTCTTCAATTTCACCAGCCACACGCCTTCGATTATCCCAACGGAAGCTCCATGACGGCGAGCACGTTACATTTCTATGCAAAGTTTCACCTCCAGTTCTGTTTGGAAGGGTTCCATCTCTTGCTGCAACACAACAAGCTGACCCCATGATTCACACAACTTATTCAAGCTATGCAAAACTCAAGGCCAAGTACCTCATAGAGGATAAACAGCAAGTATTTCCTGTAAAATAAAATTAGCACAAAAAAAGTCAGAATTTTAGAATTAAAAATTAAACAGACAACAGAAACCAACTAAACAAACTCAAAAAGATAACTACTTCGTACTTCAGCTAACCACTAACCACACTTGACTTGCTTAGTTCCATTTTTAAAGAGCATTTTTACAATTTTATTTCATTTCCCCTCATTATTCCATGATCCAAACCTAGGGTAAAAATCTAAAAAAATACTTTTTTTTTAAATAAATATTAAAAAAAAATTGAACTTTATGCATTCTCTTTTCTCAGCTTGCGTTAGAAACCATCTTCCTCAATAACTAAAGCTTATACATGGCTTTCTCCAAATTTAAGAAAAATAACGTAAATCAAAACATTTAAGTCACGAATATTTACATAATTAAATTCTTCAATTACTTGAGAGAATAGTTTTATTTTAATTTTTTACAACTAAATAAAAGAGCAAAACAAAAAAAAAAAAGGCAAAACAAAATCGAAAAAGAAAAAAAATTCAACTACGCTCGAATACGGTTTCGTTTCGTACTTCATTCTCTGAACTGATTTCAAGTATTCAACACCCAAAACTAGCAAAAATTAAAAACAAGCGAAACTTACAGATTTCAAGGAGTGATGGAGCTGAAGGAAAGAGAAGAGAGATTTGAACGGTGACGAAAGCTTCGACGGTGGTTAGAGAGGAAGGCGACGGTGACGACGGAAACAAAGAAGAGAAAGAGAGTCAAGGGCACGTATGGGGAATTGTGCCACAGGCTTCTTTTTCTGCTCCGTCCCCTTCTTTTCGTCTTACTTTTCTTCTTTTTTTTTTTCCTTTATTTATTTTTCTTAAATTTCGACGATAAAAGATAAATTAAAATTAAAATTAAAAAAAATGGAGCGGAGTGCGCTCTCTTTTTGTGCTACTAATAAAATATACTATACTTTCGTTAATACTTAAAAAAAAAAAAACTAAATTTTTTCATAGAATCTTTATCTCTATAAAATAAATTTTTATTTTATTAAATTTATATATAATAATTATTATATTTTATTTTTATATTATTATATTATTTTAAATTATCATATCTAATTTTAAAAAAATTAAAAAGAACGAAGATGAGTATGACTCGCACCATTTCCCTTCTTTCTGTTTGGTGGGTCCGAGAAACTATAGACATTGGAAAATGGACCTTTGACTGAGCTTAAGTTCAATTTTGTTTTTGCCAATAAAAGAAGATATCATATTGTTAAATTTTAAAATTTTGTTCTATTAAAGGAAAATTGATTGGATTGAATCTTGATGTGCCTAGCTTATTGAGTTTTGTTCATCCCAATTTGATTTCACAATAATTACTATGAAATATTAATATAATTTAATTATAATAATAAAAATTTAGTTCATAATAAATAGAAAAAAATTAAATGTTTTATTTGGATAAATTTGATTGTTTTATTGATAATTTTTTATTTCAATTGAAATTTTAAAATTATGATTATAGGACAATTTTTTTGTGATAATTCTTACATGCCCTAATTTTAATGCTGTATGATGGGTCAAAGTCAAAAATATTGTCCTACAAAAAGTCAATAATATCATTAATTAAAAAAAAAACTAGCCTATAGCTAGATAAACCTGATGGGGGTAACCTAACCTTATAATAAGCCTATTTTAAGTGAGATCAAGGCCACTTGGCTTTGCTTGGACCATGGTCTACGTAGTATAGTATTATAAATAAAATAAAATAAAATACAAAATTATAAAAATTTAATAATTTATTATAAATTAATTTTGGATGGTACAAATAATCAAGAAGCCTAACACCAAACAGATTCAACCTTTTCAATTTTTATATAAAATTTAAAAAACTATTTGTTTACTTCATCAATATCCAAATATAATTTTTATTTTTTAGTCCAAAATAAAAATAATAAACAAAAAAATTATTTAACAATAATTGAATTATTGATGACGCTTAGTAATTGGGCCAACTGGGCCACAGTCATACTAGACTGCATTTACTCATGGCCGATGCCCAGGCAAGAACATCGTTCTTAAACCTCACTTTTTTTTTTTTTTTATTTGGCATTTGTTTCACAGCGGACCAATTCTGACCCACAAGAAAAACTCAAAAACCTGGCCCCTACTTTCCCAGGAAAAAGAGACCATAGAACAGCGGGCAAGCTTTAACACTGACACTTAAATAGTAGTATAAACTTTTCCATATTTCCATTATGTGTTGTTTAGTTTGTATGGGAAACTTTTCAAGCAGATATGAATGTTTTTAAGTTGAACATTGCCTTGGGATCAGCTTCTGTGATATAGGATCGATATTCAACCAAGCACCTTGTCCCCACTTTCCACCCCCCAAGTGTGCCGTTTTTCCCCTCCTTTTCTTTAGTTAATGATGATTATGCGAATGCCGTTTAGATTTTGGTTTCCTAAAATGGTGATCCTTTCTGATATATGTTACTGTAATTGATAATGGCAACGCTTTTGATGTGTTTAATCTTAATGTCTGAACGTGTTCTTTTAGCTCTCTCTATATATAGGCCGATGAAATTAAACACATCATTACTTTTTTTTGTTCTTTTATCTGCATTTTCTTGTCCAAAATTCCCATGTTGTTTTTGAAACTCAAATCCATCTGTTTTATGAGTTTTGTGAAATTTATAGACCTGCAAACTACATGGTAAATGAAAAGAATAGATCGATGCTTGTTTTTGCTTGGATCCTTGATTAAAGGAGGGTATATGACTGTTGTGTTTAGTCAAAACCCATTGATCGCCGGAGAAAAAACAAAAACCTGAACTCATGCCACACTGTGATTATGATTTTTTAACATGTTCCATTGTAGCCTACGTACTGAAATTACAGTAATGTTTGTCGGAACCCCACTTACCAGACTGATGACTTGAGATGATGCAATTGTGACCGACTAATCTTTGAATGATCTAACACAATGTTTCTTTGCACTCAATTATTTGGATTGCTTAGTACGTGTAGGTGGGACATCAATCATGTTCTCTGCTCCCTTTCATGCTACTAGCCAGCCAGCCAGCCATTCCATCAAAAGCGAAAACCAAAGCTTAAAATAAATGAATTTTGATTGCTCACTTCTTGTCGATTGAATTCCTTTATCACCTTTTCACGTGCTTACAACGTCGGAATTTGAATTCTGATTATTAAAATTAAAAATTTAACACTTTATCGTAACAACAAGAGCAAAAGCTAGCAAGTTAAATATTTGTTAGAAAGAGATGATGTCGCTTGGGTTGTAAACGTAGCATGATGGAAATTTTATGTTACGTTTTGCCGGCCTGTCTTCCTCTTCCAGTTTGGAAAAGCTTTTCCACCATGGAAAGTAAAACAAATATAAAGTAACCATTGCTTTATGTCTTGCTGTGAACTGATCTCACCTCAGCAAGTTATCATTCAAGTAATAAATGAAAGCGCATTAAAAACTACTGATTCTTCCATTAAACAAAAGCAAAAAAAAAAAAGACACCATTTTCTTCAAATGAAGCCTTCCTGATTATTGGTCATGCTAATTTCCTCATTGCTTTGATTATTAAATCAATCCTCTTTCTGTCTTTTTTCTAGCTAGCATGCAATCAAACACAAGGAAGTTGAAAGGGATGCCAATCGTGTTGAGGTTTGGCTTTATATTAACGTGGATTCGAATTAATTTGAGTTCAGATTGGACGAATATTTTTTATTCGAGTCAATTTTACCGGCTCTAATGCATCAAATGATATCATTCACCCACTTTCTTGCCTACCTTTTGGTGGCTCCAGTTTAATTGGTGTAATCTCCATTAGCATTTCATGCACTATAAAGCAACAACATTTTCTATTTCTTGGCACAAATTGAATCAATAAATGCAGGGGAAGTAAGCCCTACATAATTCAAAGTAGGCTTCTCTTTCGATCTTTTTCATTTGTGGTTAGTATTTGTTTCATTTATTTGGCAATGGAGGATCTTATATAAGATTTTATTCTGTAAGCATTGTATTCGATAGAAAAATTGAAAAAAAAAAATTAGAATAACTTCCTTCCTTAGAAAAGAAGAAAACAAAAGAAGGCCAAAGAGAAAAAAAGTGGAATTTTTACATTTTTTTTATATCTTATAAGTAAGCGATTAATTTTCTTTTTGAAAAAAAAATAAATTCGAACTTCTTTTTTTTTTACTAGAAAGATCATACATTAATCACTAATCAAAATGTTAGGGTGCTTTTTTTTTTCTCCCTTGCATCAAACAATTATGGCCAATTAAATTAACATGCTCTAGGATTAATGTTTCAAACTAATTATGACCAGCAATTTAATTAACTATTGCTAAAGATTCATTTATAATAATAATTACTATAATTGCGATTAAAAAAAATTCAATGAAAAATTTATATTAAATGAACTTAATTGGAATTGACACTTAAATTTAACTGGAAGTAATTGAAACTTAACTAGAGGTGCAATTGCACCCAAACATAGGCTAAATATGATAGCTATCTCCTAATCAAACCTCAATTAAATTAGGGGAAATGCCAGTCAATATCACTGAGTTAAAGGGTCAACTTTAAACAAGTACATGGCCAGTATGCTTAATCTGGATTATAGCTTTAAACAAGTGTAATTAAAAGAAACCAATGTAGAAAAATGAAAATCAGACAAATGCAGATACTGGTTCAACGTGCTTGACAGTAGGTTGCGGGGTTTGGCACCCTACGTTGGATATAAGCTTCACGTTTCCATTCACCTTAATAATGGTGGCTAATTTTTTACTCAATTCCCTTGTCTACTTCTCTTTGTTTGGTTCTTCTCTTTTCCTTTGCTAAAAATTTGTCATATCAATTTTTTTTTATATAATTTAAAAATAAAGAAAGAGATTATAAATATTATAATTTAAACTTTAAACATATAAATCAACTTATTTAAACTTACGAATGTTGAAATTTTTACTTTACATGAACCCTAATCTCTCTCTCTATATAAATAGTCGGACTTACGATATTTATAATACTATATTATACAAAAAAGGAATAGGATTTTATAATTGAAAATACGTGAAACAACGGATATATTTTTACTCAATGAAAGATATATTTCAAAAGATTTAAAAATGTATAAGCATACGTTAGGTGAAAGAATATATATATTATATAGCCCTCGATTTTTGAATGGGTTATCGGGCATTCATAATTCAAACACGAAAATGATTAAAGTCATATGAAAAAAAAAAAAAAAAAAAAAAACTTTGGTTACACATGGTACATTGAACCTTTAGCAAAATTATAGGTGTTTTTTTTTTTTTTTTTTTTGCAAAGTGGCAACAAACAAGAGATTAGGGAGAGAGAGAATCAAGAGAAGAAATGAGTTGATATGGTCCTTCTTTTTATATATTTTCTACTAATTTCTTTCATCCATGATGTCATAGTTAATCTTATCATGATCTTGATAACATCTAGTGGCACTCAAATTGATAGGAGGTGTTTGGTTCTGATTCTTCTCAACATGGTTGTGTCGGTTTCCTCTTTAAATTAAAAGTTAGAAAAAAATTTTTTATTTGAAAGAAATAAAAAATTATTAGCTAATGAAAATGCTACTAAATTATTATGCATAAATGTTATAGATTGGAGCATAAAATTACAAGAATTATTAATTTTTCAAGGTAAATTAACTCATTTCTTATTTTTATTTTATTTCTTGAAAGGTTTCCTTCCATATATTATACAAAGTGTTTGAGAGAGATAAAGTAATACGAAAGCAAGACTTTAAGCTTGAAAATAATAGTTAATGATAATTGATAGGTCTTCGATTTGTCCCACTTTCTTGTCATATTCATGAATGAATTAATACCTATGATTTTTATTAAGATTGAAATATTTTTCCAAGCCTCTTAATCAATCTTACCGCTACATTAAATAAATATAGTAATTTAAAAATAAAATAAAAAATTATAAGTACTAAAATTTGATCATATAATTTTTTAAGTAACAAGATGTTATTATGTGAGTTGTCTTCTAGAATAAAATGAATTTGGCATTAGCAATTATTTGTTACTTGCATTAACAAAAAAAAGGAAAGAAAATGGACCTAGAAAGAGAATCATGCTCTTGCATACAAGAACACAAGACACTATAAATTATGACGTATAGAAGGTAGAAAAAGAAGAAAGAAACCAAAAAAGTGAAAGGAAATTAATATATACTATAATACATATCGTGGGATACCACATACATCCACAACCCTTCACACCATATTTTTATATCTGAAATATCCCCCATTTACAACAGCAGAAAAACTCATAATTTTATCCCCTAGCAATCAGCTTTTACTTGCTAGTCGCCCCATTTCTCTTGCAATCATCTTTTATGTCATCTTGCTAGTTCACAATAAGATTAATGTTTTACTAATATATTAATCATAATAACAACAGCATAAAAGAAGGGGAAGTTAATGCAAAGACATCCATAAATTTTGGACCATTTTTCATCCATTTATAGTAATGATGATGTTGATGAGGATGGATCAGTATTGAAAGATGTCTGCAGAGGCCATGATGGGTTGGTTAAGATAAGGCATATTGAAAGGATTGGTGAAACTGTGATCAGCACTTGTTTCAAAATCCCCAGTTTCATACACCCCATTGCAAGTTGTGGGAGTGTTGAGATAATTGAGGATCTCAGTTAGGGAGTCTAGTCTTTGGCTTAGTTCCATCATCTGAGCCCTCAGAACTGAGTTCTCATTCTCGATGTTCAAGTAGTGCTGGGTGGTGAAGTTAATGCTTGTGAGGATTTGGTTATTATCCTGCCTTAGCTGTGTCACTTGGGCCACTAAATCATCTAAGTGCTTCTGTTTTCTCATCCTGGATCTCCTTGCTGATTCTCTGTTTGATTCCTTTCTCTTTCTTTTTCTTTGATCCATCAACTGATGCAAATCCTCTTCAGAGCCAGAATTCTGAAGCAGAGTGGAACCTAAGGAATTGGAATTTCCACTAGACGAAGCCATATTATTTTTACACCAAAATCACTGCTAAAACTTCAAAAAAAAAAAAAAAAACTAATATTTCAAGATTAATCTAACCTCAAAGACAACAGGAGCCGGATACTAACTATTTTTAGCTAAAACTTCAGGATACTAGACAGTTGTTATTTGACTTATTATATATATAGTGAAACTGAAGCAATTACAAAGAAGTTATTTATCAAAAACATAGAACCAATAGAGGAAGACAACTGAGAAAGATTGAACAAGATGGGTCCTGCGTCTGAGGGAGGAATTTATCATAAACCCGGATCGGAGGATTTCACTGACAACTGGAGACATGAATCTCAAACATCAACAACAACTTATGCAGCATGAAGATTCACAACAGAAAAAAGAAAAGAAAGAAAGCTTCTTTTTGGCAGAAAAATATCAAGATCAACAGCAAAAACAAAAATTGTTTTGCTGGAAGACGGAGTTTTTTCAAGAGTTTGACTTCATGGGTTTTTGGTATAGACTTTGGAATCCAAAGTTTAACAACCAAAACCCGCCATAGAAGGGCAAAAACCTTCCAAAATGATATGAAAAGAACAGAAGAAACCAGGAAAAACAGAGCTAAATGAGATGGCAGACCAAAACCAGCAGAACCTCAGCTCTAAAAACAAGAAAGAGAGCAGAAACAGACTAAATTCTATAAGGGGGGGATAGAGCAGAATTGGAAGAGGTTTTTAAGAGAATTGAGAAGGCAATTTATAGAAGAAAAAGGTGTAGAAGAAAATGAAAGAAAGTTTAAAAAATGGGGAAATTTAAAATAATAAAAATTAAAATGCCAATAAAAAAAGTAAAGAGCTTTGGAATTTCCTCCTTGAGAGTTGCTGGAGGAGAAGTTGATAGGCATGCGGGGTGGACACGAATTTTCCACAACACTCCAATTCCACCTGCCGAACAAGACACACACCGTACAAATATTTTAATCATTACCCTATTTTAGTTTTTATTTATTTATTTTTAAATTTAATAATTTTAAATATAATACGATAATATAATATAAAAATATATTAATAAATATAAAAAATAACATAATTCAAAATTTACAAAAATATATAAATAAATTTAATAAAACTAAAAAATATTTTTTATTTTTTTATATTAATATAAATTATTATACATAATTTTTATATAAAATATAAAATAAATACAAAAACTTTTAATATTTTATATAATATAAATCTATGAATTATCATATTTATTTTTTATTATTTTCTTTATTGCCAAGAGTTAGTATTTGGTGGTAATTTCTTTTAACCTTACTTTCCCCGCCAATACTGCTGGAGTTAAAGTATAATTTTTTGGTTTTTTTCTAAGCATAGAATCTACAAATATAATACAAGCAAGAAAATCCTATGGCTTTGATTGCCATAATGAAGTTGTTCACAGGACCTGAAAAGAAAAAGTTTGTTTCCTTTTTTTATTATTTTCTTTGGTAATAGAAACATGGCACCTTGTTCTTTTTATTGCATTAATTCCTATTTTAATACTAAAAAAATCATCAGACCAACTTTTTCCCATTAAAACTTATTAAAAACAAAAGCATCACCATGTGCATCACTGCAGCTTCAGGAATGGTGCTAAAGCCTGGGTTCTAGCACAAAGCAACCATCAAGGTTTTGGCTTTGATTTGGGCTACTGATTGCTTTGAAGAGTCTGGAACACAGAGAAAATAATAACATCCCACAGAGCTTATTAACAAAAAAAATTCCATCTAGGCCTTACTTTTGGACCATTTACACTGTCTAGTAGCTTGGACCACTAAACCAGAGGCTACACTGGCCCCAGCCCTTAATTGCAAGCCACCAGATTGGACAACGACGCCAATAGCAGTTTCCGATACGTTTTAAAAGTGTTAGAACTGGAGAAACTAGAATATTTTGTTATTCTCAGTCTAACAGGAAAGATGACTTGCAACTAACATTTGCTAGAAAAAAAGGAGATTAAGCTTGACAGACTAGAAAAAAGACTAGTATCCATCGCCCAAATCAATTGTGTTGAACAATATTTCACCTGTGATGGTTAAAACAATCTTGTTTATTTCTTGGATTGTGCTCTGGTGCAATTCTGGTTCCATAATTCCGTTCTTTGCTAAAGTGATAGACTTTAGTCATCTTAATGTAGGCATGGAATTTTTCTCATTTCCTTTGGCTGTCATCTGCCTAAAACTACTCTTCCAGCTGCCAACCTTCTTATGGATAAAAGAAATCTGCAGAATCTTCATCCTTATCTTGTTTGTGAAAGAGCTCTGGAAGGACCAACGCTCTACTTTCAATTTGCTGATGGAGAAAGATGCAAGAGGCATTGATTAAAGTGTTCCATGACAATTGCCCTTCAGAAGTAGTAAACCTTTTTGCAGAGAAATAATAGCTTAATGCTACCAGTTACTAGAAATTCAGATCGGAGAAATTAGTCTTTCCACGAAAACTTTGAGTGAAATGTGTTGAGAATAATGACTCAAATCTCATAAGAGATTTGTTTGAGATTTATCAAATATTACTTTATGGTTAAGAAGATTTGTAAAAGAAAAATTCTAAGAGAAATGAGATTCTTAATAGGTAAGTTTAACTTACAAGAAAATAATTCTAAAAGAAAATGAATTTTTAATAGGCAAATTTAATTTACAGAAGAAGAATTTTAAGAGGAGAGGTATTCTTAATGGATAAGTTTGTATGGTTATAAATATGTGAAGTCTCTACAATATTAGTTATGAAAAAAATATGTAAGAGAGTTGTAGGATTTTATGAGATAGATACCCCATAGGAGTATTGGATATTTAGGCTCTACGTCTTATGAGTTTGTTTGTGAGTGAACTAGAGGAGACTGAAAGGGTCCACATAGGTATGATGTATGAGAGCATATGAGATGTGTTTGGTTATGTTGAAAAGGTGCACAAGGATTTAGGTTTGTGTTTGTTTGGGTTGAGAATACTTCATAGGACTAGAGGAGATTGAAAGTATCTTATAAGTATTGATTGTTGAGTGAGATTGATGATTTGATACATGTTTGTAATTCTCTACGACTAGTGGGTCTTGTTTCTCATCCGTGGACGTAAGTTGATTGGATTGAACCACGTTAAATTGTTATTTCTTATGTGTTTGATTTATTGTTTAATTTCGCTTCCGCTAGTGTGATTGGATTGGAGGTTTGGTGTGGTGATCCACAATAAGTGGTATCAAAGCTGAAGGTTCGAGACGTAAAAGAACTGAAAGTTCGAGATGTGGGAAGAGCTAAAGGTTTAAAATGTGAGAAGTGCATGGTTTGAGACATAAAAAGAAGCAAGTCCAGAAGAGCTCGATTCAAGAGAAGAGCTCGAGTTAAATTTTGAAGATTGATGATTGATTTGTATGAAGCGTGAAGACACAAGAAAAGAGAAGATGATTGTGAGACTTTCATTACAGGTGGAGCCAAACATGTTTAGTATGAAGATAGATGATTGATGAAATTTGAGTTAAGGTGGAGATTGTTGAAAATAATGACTCAAATCCCATAAGAGATTTGTTTGGGATTTATTTAAGATTTGTCAGATATTGGTTTGATGGACAAGAGACTTGCAAAAGAAGAATTCTAAAGAAAAAGAGATTCTTAATAAACAAGTTTTAAATTTATCAATAAAAGAATTCTAAGAAGGAGAGTGATTCTTAATGGGCAAGTTTGTGTGGTTATAAATATGTGAAGTCTCTACAATGTTAGGTATGAAGAAAAAAGATGTAAGAGAGTTGTAGATTTTGTGGGATAGACACCCTATAGGAGTATTGGGCCCTACGTCTTATGGGTGTGTATGTTTATTTGTGAGTGAACTAGAAGGAGACTAAGAGGATCCACATAGGTATGATTATAGAAGTATATGCGTATGCGTTTGGTTATGTTGAAAGGGTGTACAAGGATTTGGGTTTGTATTTGTTTGGGTTGAGAATACTTCATAGGACTAGAGGAGATTGAGAGTGTCTTATAAGTATTGATTATCGAGTGAGATTAATGATTTGATATATGTTTGTAATTCTCTACAACTAGTGGATCTTATTTCTCATCCGTGGACGTAAGTTGATTGGATCGAACCACGTTAAATTGTTGTCTCTTGTGTGTTTGATTTATTGTTTGATTTTGTTTCTGCTAATGTGATTGGATTGGAAGCTTTTAACCCAACAAATGGTATCATAATGATCCCAACAAAACAAATAATTATGCAGCCAGAAAAATCCACTTTTTTTACTATCTTAATTTGAATTCAAGGTCTGACTCTTCACTAGAAAAAGAAAAAACATAGAAATTAGATAACTATCAACATTGTTAATTGTAAATGCATTTTATTTGATGAATGAGTCGGAAAATACCTATATGGAAAATACAATCGTTCAACACATATACTTTAGAATATTCCATCAGCTAAAACTACTTGCTTAATTGATCACCAGGTTTTCCCCTTGTGTTACTATAGTCGAGCCCATGTCACTGAAAATGACATGATCCAATCCCATGCTTTGCTTCGGCACAGAAAAGAACATCAAAGTTTATTTTATCTCTTCCAATGCTTACCCTCTTAAAGTAATGACATGCAAAGGGAACATGAAAGTTCTCCAATATTGCTTACCCTGTTTAAAGCCCATGATAATGCATAATACACTACCAAACACAATCCCATATATAACATATATAGACTCCTTTTTTATGGAATTTTATCTTTATGGGAAACACTTTGAGAGTAAAATCTTGAATGTATCATATAGATGTGGAGAAGTATGCTCTTAAGATCATCTAAGAAAGAGATTAAATCCAAATAAAACTTAGGATACACTTTTGATCGTATTAGTACTACTAAAAAAAGGAATATTTTAAATGAGATGTTTGATTACCAATTAAATTACAGTTTGATGCAGCCACATGATCTTTGTTTGCTGGAAATACAGTAACTAATAAGTTTTCTTAGGATTTATTTGACCTAATTTGTTTTCCAAACAATATTTAAGAAGGCACATGAATTTTTAATACCATGGTATTGGTTTGCCGACAGTACTGCGAAACATGATGAAACATATTCATAGCTAAACTGCTCATCAAATCATCATGCGAAAGGCCACCAATTATAGTTAAAGCACTGATCATGGTGAGCCCCCGACTTGGAAGTCGGTTCCAGAGTACCTATATTATCTAGCCAAAGGGT